GTTCTCCACCCCACCCCGCCCCACCCCACCCTCATTCTCGGGAGACCGGAAAACCCGGGATGGAATCAAAACTGGAGTTTGGAGAGAAAAACGAACCGCAGCACCTTCTTCCTCGCTGCTCATTTATAACGACGACATTGTTTTTTTCATTCTCTCAAGTCTCCCCTCATACTTTCTTTCCTGTTCCCCCAAAACAGAGACCAAAAAGATTAGTTGGACCCGATTTAAACTACCCCAGAATAACACCAGCTTTCACCTTTGTACTCAACAGACTCAGGAGACCCCTCAGGAACCTTACCTCCTCCTCCACACAGTTTTCTGCCTAAAAGAAGAGGGCAGATCGCTTGTGCTGCCTCCTGGCCCCACCTGCCTCTCTGTCGGGACTGTGGCTAGGGCTCCCTCTGCTGGACACTGCAGAGATTGTACACGGGCTGTCCCCGAAGAGGGGTATGAGAAGAGAAACAGGCTCAAGCAGAGCGGCCCAGTGCTTGAAGTCAGATTCATCACACGTATTCTTCCATCCCACCCCTCAAAGCTGGCCCAGGGTTAGAACAAGAAGAATTAGAGGGTCCATGTTACTAAAATAACTTGAAGTTAATATAGGCACAATTAATCCAAAACATGCCCTCTCCACACAGACCACACAGGCAAAGCTCCCACCAGTTCCCAAGAAGATCCCCAGACTACACAGACTATAAGACTCCCTCTGCCTCTCTGGGACATTTCCCCTTACCCCTTGCCTGGCTGAGTGACGCTTTTTTTTTTTTTTTTTTTTTTGAGACGGAGTCTCACTCTGTCACCCAGGCTGGAGTGCAGTGGTGCCATCTCAGCTCACTGCAACCTCTGTCTCCCGGTTCAAGCAATTCTCCTGCCTCAGCCTTCCGAGTAGCTGGGATTACAGGCACCCACCATCATGTCTGGCTAACTTTTGTATTTTTGTAGAGACAGGGGTTTCACTATGTTGGTCAGGCTGGTCTTGAACTGACCTCAGGTGATTCGCCCACTTCAGTCTCTCAAAATGTTGGGATTACAGGCGTGAGCCACCGTGCCCGGCCCAGTGATGCTCTTTTCAACTCGATTTCCGTGGCAGATGTCTTAGAGGGGCTGGGGACACCAGGGATGCTGTGCCCAGGATTCAGTGCCTGAGACTGCTGTCTGACCGTCTCTATTTGCCTCCACCTTCATAACTACCTTCCCTTTCTGCAGTGTCCCCACACCCTCCTCTGAGACGCCATGTTCAACTCGATGACCCCACCACCAGTCAGTAGCTATGGCGAGCCCTGCTGTCTCCGGCCCCTCCCCAGTCAGGGGGCCCCCAGTGTGGGGACAGAAGGTCAGTGTATATACCAATTCCTGGGCCTTGAGGATTTGGCAGATCTCCCACTTGGGCCCATCCCCGCCCCATGCCAGTTTCCTATCTACAAGATTTGAGGCCCCATGTCATATGGACCTGGAATCCTGGGATCAGGTCCTGCCTGGGGTTTTAAGGTGAGGCTTACATGTCCTCCATTCCCATTCCAGCTGTCTCTTTTTTCTAGGACTGTCTGGCCTGCCCTTCTGCCACCAAGCTAACCTCATGTCTGGCCCCCACAGTTATGGGCCAGCCAGAGAGACCAACAGCTGCACCGAGGGTGAGGACTCAGGCAACACCTCTCCCCTTTCTGCCCCTCTCTGACTTGTTCTGAAAGAGAAAGTGGGAGGGCAGGGGATCTCACTTGGAGGAGGAGATGTTTGGAGATGTGAGGTGTCAGAGCACCATCAAGAAATCACAGATGGGGCTGGGCGTGGTGGCTCACGCCTGTAATCCCAACATTTTAGGGGGAGGCTGTGGCAGGAAGATCGCTTCAGGTCAGGAGTTCAAGACTAGCCAGGCCAACATGGTGAAACCCCATCTCTATTAACAATACAAAAATTAGCCGGGTGTGGTGGTGTGCACCTGTAATCCTGGTTACAGGGGAGGCTGAGGCAGGAGAATCACTTGAATCCGGGATGCGGAGGTTGCAGTGAGGCAAGATGGCACCACTGCCCTCCAGCCTGGGTGACAGAGTGTGACTCTCTCTCTCTGTCTCAAAAAAAAAAAAAAAAAAGTCACAGATAGGATCAGTAGGGCAAAGCAGAATCAAGTCTCATTGGTTTTGCCAAGTCAGGACCTATAGGTTAGGTGTGTGGAGAGACATGCCCCT